CCCCCCCCCCCCAGGTAAAAAAAAAGTGGTGTTTAAAAATCCTGGAGCCACCTTGAACTTTTTAGACCCGGAAAATGCCCTTGTAAAACTAGAAGTGATTTCTAATTACTTCCTGTTTTGAAAAAAAATCCTCTCTCGGGTCTAAAAACAGGACAAATATGCTCCCCACAGACCCTTGTATTTGGAGGCAAAAAAGTTTTTGTTTTTGTAGTGGGGGCATGGTGGGTAGTGCAAATCTCTGAAGGTGTCCTTGGAGGCTAATCCAGTCCCCCTAGACTCCTACAGTTACACACCTCTCTTTTAGTCTGTGGTTCAAGTTGGTGAGGAAGCAAAACAATGGAGCCAAATGTGTTGGGACATTTTAGGATAACCTCTTGCTGTCAGTACCTAAGCCTTGGGAGAGACATTTCACCTTTGTTGCATGAGAAAGCACCTGTACAAAAGCTCAAGTGTGGTGTCGTAGAGAAGGAGGCATGTCCACAGGCCCAGATTGGGACCATGGAAGGTCCAAATTGGGATTCCCAAAAAGACCTGAAGTTCTCATCTTGGTCCTCACTATCTGGCTGAATTTCATCAGGGATTCAGGACACAGGTCTGAACCACTTCAACTCATGCATAATTGGACTGAAACTGTGTGCTTCCACATACAAATTAGATGTTCTTCTCTGATGGACAGATCTTCTTCAACTGTGCTCTGCTTCTGAGCTACAACTGAAGACATTCAGATGATGCTCCGTACTGGGCAAATTTAATTAAATAAATCATTGCCAACACCACAGCGTGACTGGAGCTATAGAATAATAGGACTCCCATGAACATAAATATCTAGGGCAGGGGTAGGCAACCTTTTTGAGCCAGGGGCCAGGTTGCTGTCCCTCAGACAACTGGGGGCCCAAAGCATAGTAAATAAATAAATAAATAAATTTTAAAAAATTAAAAAAATATGCATGCACACTCTTTCAGCCCCAGAAAAGCCATGGCGAAACCCCTGTGGAGATTTTACAAAGAAAACACCAAGAACAAGTAATAACAACAATAATCAATATCATCATGGCGGGGGGTGGCGGTGGCAGCAAGACCGGCCTGGGCCGGTCCAAAAGCCTCGGGGGGGGGGGGGCGCATCTGGCCCCCAGGCCTTAGGTTGCCTACCCCTGATCTAAGGCAACTCCTCTCAATGCTCATAGTTTGTAGGCCCTCCCCATCTCAAAATTATGCATTAATGAAAGCATTTGTTGTTGTTAATTGCCCTCGAGTTGATCTTGACTCATGGCAACCCTATGGATGAGACATCTCCAAGACCCTCTGTCCTCCAATCCTCTGCTTAATTCCTGCAACCCCATACTCATGACCTCCTTAACAGAGTCCATCCATCTGGCATGTGGCCTTCCTCTCTTCTGACTTCTCTCCAACTTTCCCAACATTATTGTCTTTTACAATGAGTTCTCCCTTCTCATGATGTGTCTGAAATAAGACAGCCTCCGTTTGGTCAACTTGGCTTCCGGGGAGGTTTCCAGGTTGATCTGCTTTAGGACTCATTTGGTTGTCTTTTTGGCTGTCCATGGGATCCTCAGCACTCTTCTCCAACACCACATCTCAAATGAATTGATTTTCTTCCTTTCGTCTTTCTTAACTGTCTAGCTCCCACATCTATACATGGTAACAGGGAATACAATGACTTGTATTATTCTAACTTTTGTGCTGAGTTATATATCTTTGCATTTTAAAATATTTTCTAGTTCTTTCATGGCTGCACTCCCCATTCTTAATCTTCTTCTGATTTCCTCGCTGCACTCCCCATTTCTATCATTGTTTGATCCCAGGTATGGGAATTCTTTTACTATTTCTATTTCTTCATTATCTTGGTTGAACTTGTGAAGGTCCTTGGTGGTCATTATTTTTGTTTTCTTTATGCTCAGCATTAAGCCTGCCTTTGCACTTTCTTCGATGATCTTCCTTAGTAGGTGTTCCAAGTCTGTGAGGTTTTCTGCTAGTACTATGGTGTCATCTGCAAATCTTAGATTTTTGATATGCCCTCCCCCTATTTTAACTCCTCTTCTGTTCACTCTTCTGTTTAAAAGCTGATTTTCTTATAATATGTTCTGCATATAAGTCGAACAAATAGGGTGATAAGATGCAGCCTTGTCTGGCCCCTTTGCCAATTGGGAACCATTCTGTTTCTCCATGTTCTGTTCTGACAGTAGTCTCTTGTCCTGAGTATAGATTCCTCATCAGGACTATCAGATGTGCTGGCACTCCCATGTCTTTAAGGGCATTCCATAGCATTTCATGATCTATGCAGTCAAAAGCTTTGCTGTAGTCTACAAAGCACATGTTGATTTTCTTTTGGAATTCCCTTGTGCACTCCATTAGCCATTGTACATTTGCAATGTGGTCCCTAGTGCCTCTTCTTTTCCTGAACCCTGCTTGGGCCTTTGGGATTTCTCTTTCCATGTATGGTTGGAGTCTATGTTGCAAAATTTTGAGCATAATTTTGCTTGCATGGGAGATCAGTGCTATGGTTGTATAATTGCTGTAGACTGACCACTTCCCATCTGTTGGCCAGTATTTTGTTTTCCATATCTGTTGACATATGTTGGT